ACAGCTTTTTAAAAAAGTATTGAAGTACTCTCCTTCCCATTTAAATAGACATAAATGTTGATGGTGGCTGCTTCTGAGACACTGCATGCCTTGCTGACCTTTTCTTTGAGAGATTTAAGGGGATGTAAAGGGAATTGATGTGCTGGTGGCTACTAGTCTTTTGGACTACAAAATGTATACTCAGACATGGTCACAGTTTCAGTATTTAATCATTCATAAAATCATTTGCTGAAAACAGGTATAGCTTGAGCCAACAGCAGCTAGAGTTAATATATTCCAGAACTGCAGCAGCTCCAGCTGCTCCAGATGTTTGAGGACCTTTGTGAGGTTCCTTCCCTGTTGGCTGTGGCAGCCTTGCCAGGTAACACTGCTGAGGATGCATGTGTGGCTAAACTTCTGTGTCATCCAGCGATAACACAAACCAGATCCCACAAGTACAGATAATTTCCAGTAATCATTGTTTCTATGTTTCCATGGTTACTGGAAAGAGAAAAAATTCTATTTTTGCTTCATGAAACTATACAAAAATTGAATGTTTTCCAAAATCTGTGCAAGGTTGTAATTAAATTGTGAGCAGACAATATAGCCATTTTCCCTTCATGTGTGCCATTTCTTTACTCTCTCTCCACCCTTTCCTTTACTTCTGACCTGCACAAATCCCACCAGCTCCACAGCAAAGCTACTCTTCAGAAATAATCCCAAAGAGGGCAGAGATCAAACTCTTGCCTATGGGGTCCTGGAGAGACTTCAGGCATCATTCTTTCAAAAAGAGAAAAAGAAAAAAGAATATTGATTCCAAGGTCTAAAGAGTTTGTTATTTATATAAATGCAGCTAGAGCAGATGCAGCAGAAGTCGGCAGTAACCTCCTACTCGATTTTTACAGCGAGTCTGCCTACGAGGGCCAAAATAATTATTTGTTGAACCTATCAACTACGGGTAGGCTTAGTGTGCAGTGTTTAATGAAACCTCCATGGAAATGTGTCTTGTTGCGCCTAAAAGAGCGGAGGGTTTTTTCCAGTTTTCAAGCCCAGGCGATACTATATCACACCAGAGAGCACAGCGATGGGTCCTTAGCTAGCAACCGGTCTGTGCTAACAGGTTCATGAAATTCATGCAGGACTATCCACAGGTACAAGCTCAGGTCCACGTGAACTATACAACTATTTTAGGTCACTGCACCTGAACAGTTAGCCCTGTTGCTCTAAAGAGTGTTACAAAGACACAGTGTAATACCGGTCTGACTAGACTTCAAAGTCATCTAGTTCATCTGGGTGTATTTTAGTGCCTTGCAAAAGGCACATGAAGGAATAAACATGGATAGCCCAAATGTCCCTCCTGGTGTTTTGATGGCTCCAACTTTACATCACAAAAGTATCCACCTCCTCTTTGGAGAAGTGAACCAGGCGGTTGACATGACCTTTTCTAGAGACCTCTCTGCTCCATCTTCTGTGATCTGCTGGGAAAATGTACTTTACTCAAACTACTTACTCATCGTATTGCTCTTGTTACTATTTATACCACAGTAGCATGTAAGTGCCTTAGACAAGTAAGACTATAAAGATTGGAAAGGAACTGCTTGAAGAATTTGCAATACAAAAGATGTGCGAAAGGTAGAAAGGAAAATTAAAATGCTAAGACCTGAAATCATTTGCCCAAGTTCACAGAAGTCAAGTACCCCACTGCTTGTCTATTTTAGTAGGACTTTGGCCTTTCTAGTTTGTTGCTGTCAAATGTTTTATTTGCTTCATGAGATTCACACACATACAGAGACACTGCATGAAACATCCCAGGAACAGGATTAGGCGTATTTCACCCTGGCATATATTCCATCTGGAAAAATGAAGCTTTTGAAATCAGAAGGCAGTTTTGCTAGCATCAGACACCCATTGTCTCCTGCCATAAAAATGCCTGCAAGGTGACTGTAATGAGAAGTGGAAATACCTCACTTTTTCCTCAACTGCCATCCTGAGTTTGCTGATCTCAGTCTGGGTTCAGACATTGTGAATCTGGAAAACAGTCCTCAACAGTGCTTCAAATCATAGCAAGTAACATGCAGAGAAGTTACAAAGCTTCTGTTTTATCCCCCCAGATGTTGACATCCTATTGTTTCTTGGCAAACGATATTTTGCAAAAAGGAAGTAGCTAAATTCCTTTTCACAGTAAATGCAAGGACTGCCAGTGGTTTTGTGATGGCAACTTCAGAATTTATACCAGGTTGTGTTTTTCCTTCAGCTGTATCAAGAGTCACTGAGAAGCAATGCTGGAAGTTCAAAAGACAAGCAGTGAAAAATGTTCTTCTAACATGTTCCTGTCATGTATGGTGTTGAGTGCATTAATTTTCACTTGAACGATGAAATGGGGAAACCTGTAAAACAACAATGTATTTGTAATAGGATTCTGCTTGTAGCATCCTGATATACAGTCTCGTCTGAGATGTGAAAGGGCCCTGCCAGTGTCAATGTGATAAATGCTATTTTTAGGGACAAGATGAGGGGAAACATTAGCCCAGTGAGAGCGCATGTGAGCAGCAGAACATGACAAGTACTGGGGTGTTTTGCCAATCAAGGTCAATGTGTGCACAGAGAGGGAATGGTGAAAGGCAGGTGGTGGGAGAAACGCTGGGCTCCCTCGATGTGTCGTGACGCACGGCACCGGCCACGTGCCTGGGCAGCTACGGAGACAGCTGAGGACATGCAAAACCCTGGGCTGGGGCTGCCTGGCGATCTGCTGCCCAAAGTGTATGTAAGTCACAACTAACAGGCCTGCTGCTGCTGTAAATTAAAGTTGGTCGGTGTAATCTCATTTCTAAGCAGTCTCCAGAGGTAGGAGGAGAAAGCTGGGGCTCTCTGTGAGCAGGGGGGCCTGGCCACAGAGCAGCGAGACATCTCTCCCAACAGCGAGAAAAGTTTCTTTTGCCCATGCATTTCACCTGCGAAACCTCTGTCTCCTGCTGGTGTCAGTGTACTTCAGCGTGGGCGAGACGCAGCATCCCCCGGCATGGGGCCCTGAGTGCAGTGGGAGCAGGACGCCGGCACGGCTCCTTTGCTCCCCGCCTGGCTGGAGATGGCTCCTTCAGTCTGGAGACCAGGAAAGGATTTTGGAACGTGCCACAGATGGCATGCCAGAAGGCAAAGGGCCAAAAGCACAGGGGGTGGGCTGGAGGTGGAAGGCACTGAGATGCACACAGGTGTTTAGTGGTGTGAGCCACAGGGGTCAATGGTGCATTTTTGGTCCTATAAAGGACACTGGGTACAGAAACAGATGTTGGGAAGGGGATCCAGGGACACCCACTGGTCTTCAGCTTAGCTTCTCCACTCCTCATCGCCCTTCCCGTGGAACAAAATGGGGCGACACAGCAGTGCGGAATGGGAGGTGCTGCTTGCGTGCGTGTTGAGGCCACAGCTTTGCTGGTTGGTGAGTCCCACCAGACGGCTGCTGCAAGAGCCCTGCTGAGGGACTGAGGTTGTGCCAAGGGGTGACGGAGGCCAGCTGCCCTGCCCGTGCCCTCCCGCAGAGCCTGGGGACACGGCCGGAGCCCTCAGGGGGCACGGGCAGGGCAGCCCTCCCTGGCTGGCACCCACTGGGGCAAACCACAGCAACAGCCTGCCACCGGGCAAAGCTGCTCAGCTTGCATGGCTTAAACCACATCAGGATCAGAGTGATTTATTCAACAGCACCTAACTAACCAGCAATCAACGGACTTCACATTCAGGTTCAATATCAGCAAGACAGCAGATAAACTGCGTTACTAGACACTTAGCAAATGTTAATAAACACCAATAAAATCCTAAACACCCTTCTAACCTCAAAACCTACATACACATACATACAAGTGCATGTGGTTGCGGCATGTCATGTCATGGACACACACATCATGTCCCCGGGACTAGCTGCTTCTCTGGCCTGCTCCGGTCCCTCAGCTTGGCAGGATGACCGCCTGCTGTCTCAGCCTCCCCCCAGCACCACACAACCCGCCAGCTCGCGGAGGGTGTGCTCTGCATGGAGCTGACCCATGGTTTCCACGTGTGAAAACGGGTGACGGTGGAGCAGAGCCGGTGGCTGCTCTTTGCTTCTCATCGCAGGGGCAATGAAGGGTACCGGGTGCTTTCTCAGACTGCTGCCCTCCCTCTGCCTCAGCAGCCGCAGGTCTTGCATGTCCCTTAGCTGCCTGGCTGCCATCCTTGCCCCAGGGGTCTCCCAGGCCCTGCAGTCACCCACCCTGCCACGCTGAGAGCAGCTCCTGCAGGTCCCCTTGCAGCAAGCAGTCTGCCTTCTGCCAGGCATCTGGCTCACCTCGCAGCTGGCTTTCAAACACCTTGTTCTGCACCCCCAGCAGGGTCTGCATGTTTGCCTCGTACCTTGAGATAAGGCCGGGGTGGGCTGTTTTCCCATGGACAAGAGCACGGCCATCCTGTGGGCCTGCAAAGTGTCCCCTCTCTGCCTAGGCCACTGCTGAGTCTCCGGCTTTTCCTTATCCAGTTGTCAGGAGTCAGTTTAACAGAATTACAGGCTCCCCTTATGTGCCTTCCTGACCTTGGGCTTTGGCTAGCTTTACTCCTCTTGTTTTGGGAATTGGTGGCACATCTCTGCAAGACCAGGCTCCTCCTGTGAAAGCATGCAGCTAGTGTGCATGGATTTTGCAGAAAAATCTTTTATTTTGTCGATCTGCTGGCAATTGCTCCTGGGTCAGTCTCAGAAATGTCTCTGTGAAGGCTTACCCCCTTTGAGATGTCACCTTCATTTTCATGCAGAGTCATGGTGTTCTGCTCTGCAGAGAAATGTTCTGGTGTGGCTGCTATCATGATGGGCACCCTGCCACGATGGTGGATGTGGTACAAGGAGGACCAGAGGTGCCTACCAGCTCGTACGTGAATGCCATCCTATTTTCCATGAGAGTGCTGGTGACAGGCAAGGGTTTTGGCAGAACCAGCACACTGGTAACTCTCATGGTCTCAAAGGGAGCCATATCTGTCTAGCACTCCAACCTTGTCACTTCGCTTCAGTCTTTCAAGGAGCATTGTTCTCCCCTGCCTCTGAAGCCACTATCCAGGTCGATGCAGTGTACAGCAAAAATTACTTTTCTAACATACTTGCATGTCCTTTTGGCAGTATGTGTCATGAAGACAATGGTGTCACCAGGGCAAAATATGTTTTTCTTCAGGAAAATCTGAAGGATCACAGAGCCATGACTGAAGCAGCAGAAATAAATTACATCCTTCCTAGCTTCCACCACCAGTGGGTCCTGCATGGAGAGGGTGAGTGGAAAGGCAAAGCATGGTGAGTTCTTGTTGCTGGATATGGGGTGATTCCCAAACACCACATGCATAAACTTCTAATGCAACAGCTGAGGCTGCTCAGCTCTCCCCACAAGCCCCACCATTAACCCAGAGGACAGTCTTCCTTTCTGCACCAAAAGTGACATGGCTGAATTATCACAGTCCTCCTGAGCATCTGTGCAAAGAATTCATGTGTGCATGTGTAAACACTGTCACCTTTAGCTATCCATACCCAAATTTAGAGGGAGGCCACAAAATTATTAGAATCATCATGTTCTAGCTTGACCTTTGAGTGACTGTCCCAGTCTAGGTAGAGTTCGGTAAAAAAGGCACCTCCTATTTGGTGGTGCTTGCCCAAGGCTTAGACTCCAAAGCAGGAGAATAACCTCCCTTTTCCCTCATCCTGGATCTCAAAGTGCTCCCTACATGTCACTCTTGAAGTCTTACAATGCACCTAATATGCTGGAAAAGAAACATCTTGGTGCAAGCCCTAGGACAAAGATGGAAGAAGATACTGAAGTGTCATTTGAATGCTAAAATGAGGAAGCTCAGAGGTAAAAGTTCATGGACACTCAGTAGAAAGCAGTTACAGCTCTGGATCAGAACAGGGTAGGTCTGTGTGTCTCCAACTCAGGTAGTTTGTTCCCCTTACCGTGTCTTTCATGTGTCTTCTGTGGTCACCAGCAGTTCCTTGCAACAGTAAACATCTCTCCTCTTTAGCTAAGGCAATTTGGTGGCTGCAGCAAGTCCCTTGAACAAAGTAGGAGATACAGACAATTTTGCTGGTGAATGTGGAGGGAATACTTGGAGGAAAGCTGAAGTGGAAGTCAAAGATGCAGACCCCAGAATCCAGCCAGCCATCTGAAAGCCAAACAACACCCTGCTGTCAGAAGACTTTTAAACATTTAGGATGTTTGTACCTTATGGAAACCTTGATGTTTCTCCCAGAATTCAAGGTGTCCTTACCATCTGGTGTTGCACCCAAAGTGCCATAAATGCATGGTATAGGGTGGACTGTGCATCGCCTCTGCAGGTCAGCTGCTGGATGTATGGGCCCCTACCAGTCGGCAGACTTGGGAACTGCTAATCTGCCTCATTTTAACACAACGTGAGCAAACCTGCAGCTCCTCACAAACTGTTTAGGATTTTGACTTATCAAAATGGAGTGCCACAGGCTTTTAACTTTCCAAATAAGCACTAATAGGCATTGTGGGAGTAAAGCAGTATAATAACTCTTCAGTCCTCTTTTATCATTGTCTACAACACTGCGCATATGATCTGAAACTTCTGTTTCGCCTGTGCAAAAGACCCCCTCTCACAAAAAAGAATAATATTTTCTTTATAATATCTTTATAATATA